CCGCGTGTGACGTAATCTGAAAATCTTTTTCGCTTCCCGCCCCGCCCCCGTCTCCCCCTCGCCGTCGTCGTGATGAACGAGTGACTGCGCGATGAGCGCGGTAATAAGTGCGCACGAGGGTGCCCCGCCGAGGCTCTAATGAGTAACGGTCCGCGGAAGAATGTTATTAATGGATATCGTAGAACGCGGCGTGTTGCGCGTGCGAAGTGTTGCCGTGCGAAGATTGTAAGTTTTACGGCCGGTCGCGGGAGGGGAATAGCTATAAAGCACACTCTCCTACGGCCATTCCATTAATATCGTTTTGTCATCGGTATGGCTCGCAGGATTATGTTATTCTCGGCGTTCCGCGCGCGAGCGAGCGAGCGAGCGAGCGAGCGATGCTGACGTGGCAGGTTTCGCGAATTATGCGCCGTGAAATATTCCGGGCGTTCGCGGGAAACCGTTAGCCGGTCCCCGGCCGTAATAAACAGTCCTTTCGTTTTGCATTAATTCCCACGGATTTTCCGCGAGCTCGAAGGAACGACTCGAACCACATCCGCCCGCCCGCCCTCGCTCTTCTCTCACCGCGTAGATCCTGATTTCTCCGGCGCTCTCTCGGCCGCGGCGGCTCCGGTCGCGCCTCTCGCCTCTCTAAATAAATCGCCCACCCTTTCGCTGAAAATATATTTCCCGTAGGCAGCTGCCGCCGTTTGTTACTTGGAGGGCACGATTGAAACGCAAAGTTTCACATTGGATGAGGGCTGGTGATATGGCCCGAGGTAACTGGCCGGGAAGGGGTGAGGCTGTAGAGGATTACATTTCGCATTCATGGAATTCCATCGAGGCCGCGTAAATCAAAAGTTCGAGGGCGTGTATAAGCGCGCGGGGCGGGGTGAGAAGGCGAAACGAGTGGGACCGAGATCGAAGATGCCGGGCCACTACCACGTTCGTTCGCTCGCTCTCTTCTCGTTCATTCGCGTCCGTCGCGCATAACGTCGCGAGACTGTTTCTCTGTGCGTCGCTTACGCATCATTGCGCGATCCGGGAGTTGTTTTCTCTCTGTGCACGGCAATATCGTGGGGGACAATCGCGCGCGCGCGCGCGCGCGGGGAGGAGGGGAGGGGGAGGAAAAGCGCGAGCAGAAAAAGAAAGAGGGAGAAGAGGAGAAGAGCGACGATGACGACGACGGAGGCGAGGAAAAATCGCAAACGGCGACAATAGGATGATGACAAGGCGGAAGGAAGAGGGGGGGGGCGAGGAAATGCGCGTACTATCAACGACGAATACATTTTTAGATACGACAGGGGGATAAGGGAGCTTTATTTACCCCGGCAGGATCCTTTTTGCCTCGCGAGCGCCGGCGTTATCGTAGTAACGCCGCGATCTGCGACTTACGCTCGCGAGACAAAGGGTTAATCTTCGCGGCATCCCGTGGGGGGGGAGGGAGGATTTAGCATCGGCAGATAATCCGCGCGTTTAGCCCGCGCTTTTCAAATCCGCGAATCCGCTCGGATTAGTATCGATATAATCGGCGTCGGTTAATTACGTCCCGCTGCGCGCGCTTCGCGGCAAAATGCATTCCACACACTCGACATGGTTTTACACTCGGTCGACGGAATAACACACACACACATACACACACACACACATACACGACGGGATTATCGAGCGATTAATGGAAAATGCCGTCTTGCAGTATTAATTTTGCCCGGCGGATTTTTAATTAGACTTTGCGCAACGGCACGTCTTCTCTCCTGCCCCACTCCGGTTCACGTTGTACAGCCCTCGTCATCTCGTACAAATGGTCGATATTACGTCGCCGGCTCGTCGAGCCCACCCCCTCCGGGGGGAATTTCGGCGGCTACATCCGCATCTTTTCGGAGGAACTTTTTCACGTTCTCCGCTCCGGCAGCCCCGCGAGATCTTGTTTCAACTGCTGGATTTAGGTTTGCGAAAGTATCGTCGAGAACGAGAGAGAGAGAGAGAGAGAGGGAGAGATAGAGGGAGAGAGTAATGGTTTATCCTGGACATCCAAAGTAGACACGATAAAGTTCAAGTGCCACCTGACGAAAGTTTCAAGCTTCTCACAGGCTTCGCTTGGCCGGCTGGTCCCCGATACACAGCCGGGGAGGATTAAAGGCGGATTGGCATGTGCATTACTACCTTCACCACGCCTCTCCACTTTTCCCGGCTACACGATTTGTCCCCCCTCGCCTGAGTGGTATTCCGCCGCCGCCCGCGAGAAAGATCGCGAGGGAGGGAAGAAGAAGAGGAAGAAAAGAAAAAAAAAAACGAACGAGAGAATCGCCGAATTAAATCGCGATCGAGCGGCCAACGGCTCGCGAGGGCGCGCGAGCGTTTCCGCGAAAATGTATTAAAACGAGAGCCTCGGCTGGAATTTGCCCGCTGCAATTAGCGTATGATAATAAATCGCTCTCGCCGTAGAGACTCCACCCTCGTTCTTCATTCTCGCCGCCGAGCGCACGCGAGCGCACGCGAGCGAGCGTGTGATCGTTATACGTCTATAAAATATGATATTTAAACACCCTCTCTCTCTCTCTCTCTCTCTCTCTCTCTCTCTCTCTCTCTCTCTCTCTCTCTCTCTCCCCTCCTCCTCCTCTCTTTCTCACTTTGTGACGCGCGTTGATCGCGCCATATTGCGCGCACCAATGCACCCGCGGCTGGGGCCGGGTGAGAGGGGGGGGGGACTGGCCGCTAACAATTAATTTGATACGAGGCGAATTTCCGTTTCCGCGAAACTCGACCAGGTCGGCCAACAAACGCCGCGGCCGCACGACGGCACGTCGAAAATTGTCCATTGAATTATCGAACGATTAACGTCGTCGCATGTTACGTACGATGTTAACGCCAAAGGGCGCGCTGCTGGGGGGCTATGGCGGGAAGAGGGGAGGAGGGGGGAGCGAGAAGCCTGTCTTGCCGCCCCGTGAACGGGGGAGAGATTCCGCGAGGTCCGCCGGCAAGGCGTATTCGACCACAATGTGCGTCTCTATGTTCTGCTTCGAGAATTTGCGGTCGCGCGCAAACGCGTAATTAGTTTAAACCGAGTAACGCGGTAATTAAGCCGGTTTAACTCCTTTATCAAGGTGAAGCGGACCCACCGTCTAGCTCGTATCTCGGTTGTCTCTGCGGCTTCCCAGTTTATCCGCCCACGCCGTATTACGCGCACGTAACCCCCGCTCGCGCGCTCCTCCGCCGCCGACTTACGAGTGCGCGCGCGAGAGAGAGAGAGAGAGAGAGAGAGAGAGAGAGAGAGAGAGAGAGAGAGAGAGCGCGCTCGAAAAATTCTCATTCGGTGCACAGTGAGATAGGGGGATGAGCTTTTTCCTCGAGATCGCGCGATGTCTGGAAAAATGAACGGACGGACGGACGGACGGTCGACGCGACCCGCGTTTGCTCGTCGGTTTTTCACTGCGACGTGAGCGACGCAAGCTCGCGCAACTATCGACGAGCCGTGTCTTAAACATCCCCCGAAGTGACGTTTCACGAGAACGCGACCGCATCGGATTTCCCACCCTCCGCCGCGCTTTTCCAAATCTGCGCTCCTAGGAGCGCAGATTTGGCAGCGCCAGTTGCGGGGAAGCCCGACATTCGAGCGGATCGCTCGAATAATCCCTTGGAACGATCGAACAGAATGGTGCCCCGCGTCGTACATTCTTATCCTCACCCGCCGCGCCCCCTCAACCCCCCCTCTCCCCCCCGAATGAAACATCCCAAAATGAAACATCTTATTTCTCTTGGCTGTGAAATTCGGGCGGATTACCGCGCACCGATAACGGGATTTCCGACTCGGCGTCGTCGCGCGCGCGCGCGCGAGCGAGAGGAGAGCTCGCAGGGCGAGAGGGGAGCTCGCAGGGCGAGAGGGACGCGGTTAAAGGGGCTGGAAATTCTCTCGCCAGTATCGGAATTAGCAGGGCACAAAAGGCGAGGCAGGCGCACGCGGCCGTGAAACGCCGGTCGAAACGAGGAAGACAGAGACAGAGACGCACAAGACAGAGAGAGAGAGAGAGAGAGAGAGAGAGAGAGGGGCGCTGAGAAAAGGAAAGAGGGAGGGAGAGAGTATACGCTGGGAGAATAATACGTACAATGGCGCGCTTAGACGGCAGGCAAGCAATTCTGGAGATTAAACCCGGCCATATCTGTAATTGACTCTCCAGCACATCCTTGGCTTTTCATTATTCAGACCCGCGCCCGGGCGCGGGGGGGGGGGGGGCCGAGGCGCCGAGACTTTTCCAGTCCGCAGCGAATCCCCGAGAACTCGCGCGCGCGCGCGGTCCTGCCGATTAGCATTCGCCCGCAAAGACCGACGTCTTTGATCTCTATCACGTCTGACGGATCGCCGTGGTTCCGATAACAGGTCTCAGACTCTCTCATTATCCGTCGGCGAGAAAGCGATCCGGCGTTTCCCCGGCGCGACGTCGCGTCGTCGAGGGGTTGGCGGCCGAGACCTCTCGCCGAGTTCTCGCGAGACAATCGGCGATTTTTAACGAGCCGAGACAGCCCGACTCGCGCGCGCGCGAATTCGATTCGACGGTGACGAGCGAAGCTCGACAGGAAACCACCCACTTATGGCGGCGGAGCATTTGCATCGCACGGTCGCGGCCGTCTCCCCTGCGGGGGTTCATAAATTTTCACGAGAAATTTTATGAGCTTTATAGCGAGAGGGGCGCACGAGTTATATCGTCGTCGTCGTCGTCGTCGTCGTCCTCTTCCTCCTCGTCCTCGTCGTCCTCTTCCTCCTCGTCCTCGTCGTCCTCGATATCCAGTGACACGTCGTTTAACAAAATTCACAAGCGGCACTGTTGTACCGAGAGCATCGAATTTCGATATTCCCTCGTGCTAAAGCACTCGATAGAGAGAGAGAGAGAGAGAGAGAGAGAGAGAGAGAGAGAGAGAGAGAGAGACCATCCTTTGTCTCACTTACTGAACTGGTCTAGGGTACGCGAGTGTCGACACAGAGCCAGGCGTGTTTAAACCGCCCGTCCGTGTTTTTCCTGTTGCAGGTGCCAGGAATGTCCCGTGGTGAAGCCTACGTTCCTCTGCGGCAGCGACAATCGCACGTACAGCTCGCCGTGCCGTCTCGAGTACCACAACTGCATTCACCATACTTCCGTCCACATCGCCTGCAAAGGTTTTTGTCCGTGCAAAGGTACGTAGAGGAGCACCTCGCTCCGCGTTCACGCTCGTGTTCGCGCGCGGCTTAAACCGGGGAAATTGGTTTAATCTCGGACGCGCGCGCGCGCGCGCGGCTTAAGGGAGAACTCCTGAGCGCGGGCTTCGAACAGTTTCGATAAGTCGCGTGCGACTGACGTGCGATCGTGCGGCCGTTACAAATGGCCGCTGTTGCGGCCAGGGAAGAAGCATCCCCCCGAGCGAGCGAGTCAATCAATGGCCGTTCGATTCTTCGCGCTTTTCCGCGATGAAAGACCCTCGCCGGGACTGATACACTCGAATCCGCGAAGCCGCGATTTTTCATCATTTTCGTCCTGCGATGCGAAGTGCGTGAAAGTGCGAAAGCGCGAGGAAGTCTACCCTCGCAGACTCTCCGCGACGATAGACGCGAAGGAGGAGACGCGGACGAAGGCTCTATTTGTTATCGCGCATCTTTCATCTCTCGCTAGAGCTCTCTCGCTGTGTGTGCTGTGCTGCTGCTGCTGCTGCAAAGGGGTTCTCCTTTAAGGGCCGCTTCACAACGGCGGCGGCGGGTATAGATAGATCCGCAGACAGCGCTAATATTCAAAACGGAGGATCGAGGATTCGCTTATTGATAATTCATGGAATTACAAATGCGGATGTTGTGCCGAATTGGCAATACAGCCCGACCGTGAACCTGAACAACTCGAGCGAGTCGTAACATGCATAACGAAATAGCAGTCGCAATGCGCGGTTATGCAGCGCGCGGGGTAACGCGGCTCCCGCGTAGCGTTTTCGCTACGGGAGAAGAAGTTAATATTCGAACGCGATCTTCCTCGCCCGGGGGCTGGCGGGGGGAGGAGGCGGGCGGTGGCGCGCGGATAACGGATTAAAACGGCCGAATGAAATCTCGGGGGGTGGGGGGGGATGGTGAAAACGAATTACGCCGGAATTACAGAGAGATTTGATCGTCGCGACGACTTTTACGACGCGCGGGAAATCCAGCTGAATCGGCGATCGCGGCGAAGACGAAGCCAAGACGAAGGAGGCGCAGGAGGCGGTCACGCGACGACGACGACGACGAGCTGTAAAACGAAACCGCGACTTGAACGCACGAGAACAATTAGTAAGCATATTCGCATCCTGGAATATACGCAGAGAGTTTCACAATGGCGCGACCCGCGCGTTTGCATCATGCTCCTCTTCGCCCCGACGACACGCGGACCTTCCATGAATATTCATAATTGGCGGTTAGAACAATAATGCCGCTGTGTTGGGCATACAACGCGATGCACCTCGGCGAACGTCGGGCGAATCGTGATTCACCGTTGACGGAAGAATAAGCGAGATTAAATTCGCGGATCGGCCGCACTCGGTATTCGCGGTTATACCCGAAGCTCGTCAGGTCAGAAAAGCACCGGTGTGTGTCTCGGAGTGTGCGGATTTTCACTCATTGAAAATTTACATCAAGCTTATTTCGGTGCTCATGCAATATCGATGGCTGGCAGCATTAAGGATGGAAATACGGGAGAATATTTATAAGTAACCTACCCACACATACACGAGCATCAGCTCGACGCGATTATTATCTCATGGGGCGCGCACGTTGAGATAACGCGGATGTCGGAAATATCGTCGGGATCGTTGAAGCCGAAAGTCCGAACGCGTTTGAGATTGACATTGAGACAACGGGACGCGCGCGCGCGCGCTGTTAAACGCTTCCCGAAGCGTCGCGATCGTCCGAGAAACAACGAGTCCAGCGTATTCTTCCAGGGAGAGAAATCTCCCTGGGTTCCTGGGAATTGCTGTGCACACAACGCGCGCGTGCATTGTTTCTGAAGCGTGATACATTGGCCGGGCAGAGGTGCTTGTTCCGTGAAAAATTTATTATTTTGCCAAACGTCCGGAGTCCGCGCAACGGCGCGGCGGCGGCGGCGGCGGCGGCGGCGGCGGCACAAAACGTGTTTGAGCTCGCGTCGCATTAACGTACAAAATAAAAGAGAAAATAGCTGAAGCGGATTTCACTTAACGCTAATGAATATCAACGAGCGCGGCCGAGCGAGCGGCTCGAAGCACACGCGGAAAAAAAAGCCGCTGCAGCGGCTCGCCAGCGTGTAAGCGGTGATTGAATTCTGCAGGGTTGCATCGACGCGCGATCGCGCGCGCGTTTTGTCGAAAAATCATAACGCCCGTCGATTGCGATCGATCGCATCGGACGCGGGCATTAATTTTCGAAACGGCCTATTTCCCCCCCTCCCCCCCTCCCTGATGCCTGATGAGTGGCCATTGATTCGTGTATTTCATCGGGAACGCGGCGGAATTTTTATCGACCATTTTGTAACATCGTCACAGCGCTCGCTCGTTTTAAATCTTAATGCGGGACAATAAAAAAATTATCGCATTTTCACGACCGAATAGTTCGGGACGTACGCGCCGAATGTCAATGCAATTATCCCAGACAGGCCGTGTCTGTCTGTCTGTCTGTCTGTCCGTCAGTGTATGTGTGCGTTAGGCCTATCGCGTTTGCGGTCGGACGATTCATTGGAGGCCGGAAAATTTGCCGCAAAACGATGCGGCATTGTACGACGTAATTGTGTTTCACTCGGCCGACAATCGTCGAGTTTTCATGCCGAATTGAATATCCTTCGAATACGCGATATTTGTAATTTGCCGAATGGTTCGCCATCTCCCGCCCCGGTTCCCCGCGCACCGTCCCCGCGCGGGACGACCCTCGAAATGCGAAAATCGAATCGTAAGTGCAGCTACAAAACAATGTAAACTCCGAGGCGAATGACACTTTTCGCAGAGTGTTATTCATTCTCTCTCTCTCTCTCTCTCTCTGTTTTTTTTTGTTTGCAGCAATTATCTTTGCTCTCTCCTTTTGCCTATTTTTTTTTTTTTTTTTTTTTTTCGACACTTTGTTCCGCTTTTTAATTCGAGTCCTTGAAAAGTGCTCGCGGCACAAAAATTTTCCCATTTTTTTTCCGCCAACTGAATCGACGATATATTCGACGGCGCGGATCGACGTGTCTCCTCGTCGCGGACCCTTTGCACTTCGCGAAAAAAAATCGTACTCACCGCCACCATCGATAACGATCGACGACGAATGGACCGACGAACGAACAAACGACCGGGGGAAAGTGAAAGCTCGGTCGCCGAAGAGCACAGTTCGGCTTTTCGACTGCATTTCTGACGTGCAATTTGCCGGCAGTCACGCTCGAGTTGATTCGGGCTAACGAACCAAGTACTCTCGACGTTGCGCGCGGGACGAAATGTAATTTCGCCGCGACTGCAATCAATGTGTGCCGTGGTAAGAATGTATTAATCGAACGAAATCTCTTTCTCTCCCCCTCTCTCCCCCCCCCCTCTCTCTCTCTCTCTCTCTCTCTCTCTCTCTTTCTCGCTCCCCGCCGTCGACAGGCACCGATCTGCGAACGTATACGAAGAAGATGCAGATGCAGAGGAAGAAGGGTCTCATGGGCAAAATGGGTCGCAACCACGACATCACCCTGACGCCGCGCGACTTCAATTACGACAATCATCACTACCAGTACCTCAAGTACTCGAAACGCGGCAAGGTAAGTCTCGCTCGACCCTGCTCGTCCTCTCGCCTCTCGCGAAAGCTACCACGGCGGAAATATCGCGCGAGCGAGCGGCGGGGAATCCTCGGCCTCCGTGCCGCATTTGACGGCTCGTGATGGTTATGGGTTCTTCAATAGAAATGCGGTCCTCCCGTCGCTCGCTCGCTCGCTCGCTCGCTCGCTCGCGCGCGCGCGGTATTGCGCGACACGTTCGTGTAGCATTTACGTAACAGCGTATGCAGCTGGTAACGTGGCGTATAATACGAGCGATATGTATTTGCGCGGCTGCCTCTCCCGATGCGTGACTTATCGAATATGTGATACGCGCATTTCGCTCTCGGCCTCGACGGCGCGCGCGCGCGAGAGCGCGCGAGAGCGAGCGAGAGCGAGCGAGCCGTCGATGCCCCAGCGAGATCTATTATTCACAGTCTCGTTGTATGTAAATTATTCCACGAGATTAACGGGGAAGCGCGCGCGAAAAATTGGCGCGCGTCAACAAGGGAGGAAAGAGCGTGAAAGAGGGGACGAAATTCCGCCGATCCGGAACGGCACGCGCGCGTCACCGTAATCTTTGAAAGTTTAATCAAGTTCAGACACGATATTGGTACGAGCGAGGCACGCGCGCGTATATCCGTTGTTGTTTATTTAATAAATGGCGGTCGGGTTTGGCACGCCCGGTACTCCCGGGCAGTTTGCGGGGAAATTGGCCGTGCGGAGTTGGCCGCTTCAAGTAATAATGATAAACGTCAAAGTTGCCGAGACGCGAGAAGCCGCGGCGCGCGGCGCGAGAATCGATGCGCCAGCCGGGCGGTCTTACTTTCCGCGCGGAATATGGGACAGCGCGGGTGTATATAGCTCGGCAGGCAAATTATTTGCGGCCTGAGTTGTGATTTATCCGCGACGCTTTTCCTCGCCCGGCGGAATCCCATAAAAATGGATCATGGCGCAAGCGATTCAGGGGAAACATTTCGTTCGTACTTTATAGCTTCGCGCTTCGTTACTTTGCACTCTTTACAGATTTGTGAAGTAGCTGGGCCGCCGAGCGCGGCGGCTCGTTTTCTCGTCGGGCTCTCTCTCCCTCTCTCTCTCTCTCTCTCTCTCTCTCTCTCTCTCTCTCTCACACACACACACACACACAAATCCCGTGCACGAGGTCAGGATACGTCTGTCGCGACGCCGTCATATTACGCAACTACGTAGAGAAAGAGTTTCTCGCCCGAGATGGGCAGAGCATGTTCGAGGTGCGCGCGCGTCACATTCTCGCGGGGGGTTGATTAAATCAACAGCCGGCGGAAAGATTCACAGCCCACTTCCCGATGGATGTACACAATTATTCGCCGAAGAATTTCGCGGCCCCGCTGCGAGGAACGAATTGTTGATTCCATCACACTGTTGTTCGGAGCGGCTAGGAGGAGGGCGGGCGGGCGGGAACGTTTTTGCTCGCGTTAAGAACAAAGAGCCTACATATCACGTTTGCGGTACTAGAGCGAGACGAGAGGGCCAGCCCACCCCCCTTCGTGTAAATCACACGGCGGCGCTCCCTCGCCCCAGGTCGCGCCTCCGCGGTACGATTTCTCGCCCGTCGGCGATTATCGATCCGACCTGAGGCAAGCGCCGCTACTTTCGTCACACAAGCGGAATCGCAAGGTCGCGGGCACAGACGTAATCGAGAGCCTGACGTAGAGACCACGTCGTCGTCCTCGTCGACGCAGGCAGGCGTCCTGAGCCGCCTGTGCGCAGGTATTTTCGCACGGCGGCGCTCGCCGAGGTGGAATCGATGACCCGAATTGACGACACGGGCTTATGTATCACGTAGAGGCGGGGGCAAAAAATCGCAGACGGATCGGACGCATTTTCTAGTCTGGGCACGTGAAAGGACTTTGTCGCGCGGCGCACCTTCGCACCGCGCGGGACCACGAGAGAGAGAGAGAGAGAGAGAGAGAGAGAGAGTCGCGTACCCGGGACGTGTAAGACGGATCTGGAGGACGTTTGAATTCGGAAACACGTAGCGGTGTCATGCGCGGAGGGATAAGATATGGTTTAGAATTTGCAGAATCTCTCAGCAGTCGCGAGAAAGAACTACGGCCGCCCGCGAGGGTGTTCGCGTTTCCGCCCTTCTCCGCGGCTTCAACGTCGCGTCAGACGCTGAATTTCCCCTGCGCTCCTCCCCCTTTACGACTCCTTCGCGAGAAAGAGAGCAGATCCTTGCATTATCCAGGCATTAATTCGGTTCTTCCTTTTATATCCGCGGTTACCCCGGATGTTTCGCCGCCGCGCCGGGACGAGAGGACGCAGAGACGCGCGATGACGCGCTGTAATAACGTTGCTCCTAAATTGATTCGTTTCGTGCACGGTTTTGCGGTCGATGCGTTTTATCGATACCCATCGATAGACGAAAGAGAACATTTTCCGGACGCGCATCGCTCGCGTGTTGGGAGAAGAAGAGGGAAGAGGGAGAGAGAGAAGGAGAGTGCTTTTCGCAATATTGGTTACACTCTCTCTCTCTCTCTCTCTCTCTCTCTTTCTTTCTTTCTCTCTCTCTCTCTCTCTCTCTCTCTCTCTCTCTCTCTCTTTCTCTCGCTTCTCATTGACGTTACAACACAATTATTCGAGCTATACAGTTGAATGTTCCCCTCCCCCCTCTCTCTCTCTCTCTCTCTCTTTGTCTTTTTTTTTTACAGCGTGTCTTTTGCCCCACGTGAAGCACTTATGCGTATCACGTCGAGTACTATTCACCTTCTTTGCACGCTTCCCCCGTTTTCGCGATCTTACGATCTCCCGGGGGAATTTATGAACGTAGCTTCTCGCGCTAAAAAGCAACGTCCAATATTGTAGCTTCCATCGCCTGCAGCTCGCGCTATATCCTTCATCCCGTTACCCGTGCATTACCGTTTCTATCCCGCTCGTCGATAAATACAGGATGTAACTTAAATGTGAATTTAGGCTAGCCACAGAGAGAGAGAGAGAGAGAGAGAGAGAGAGAGAGAGAGAGAGAGAGAGAGAGAGAGAGAGAGAGAGAGAGAGGGAGGGAGAAAGAGAGAGTACGTTGCACACCATGTAGGTGAACGCAGAATACGAATCATTTACAAATTCCGTCGTTTTATAAAAAAAGGCCCAATCTTTTTGTGGAATGTTTCCGCGATTTAAAAAAAGAAAAAAGTAGATTTTTTATTTTTTCTTTGTTTTTAAGAAAATCAGAATATTTATGAAAGCCAAGTTTACAAATATCATGCTTAAACAACGATTCCAAATAACAGAGAATTTTACATAAAGCTACAGTGATTAATTCGCCGTTTATTGAGTTTCAGCGATTTCCGGGGAATTTAATTTGTTCGCGTAACGACAGGGACCGCCGAGCGTATTTTCCATATATCTCTTATCTATCTATATTCCTGTTTTGGAAGCCAGAGAGCTGTTCGGTTAGCAGAATTTTGATGCGGCGGACGTACTCCAGAAATTTCGTGGATGGAAATAAGACAAGGGGATTATCGTGAGTCACGTAAATTCGACGGATAACTTTAAATAATCTAAGCTCTGCTAAATAAAGCTCCGCCGCTCGTTCCCCCGGCATTGTTCCGCCGTGTTTCGGACGAAATTCTACTACCGCGGCTCGCGCTTAATTCAACCATTTCGCAGTTAATTTCCACAATCTGACGTGACCGCTCGTGACGAGAACGCTATATGAAAATCGAGATTGGAATCTATATTTGCCATATAACATCACGATATCGACAAATAGAACGCCACGACGGTTCCGCAAACCGATTTCCCCCGTGCGTTTCGCGGGCGCGGGGGGAGGAGGGATGCTCTACATTTTTCCCCCACGTATCCCAAAATCAAAAATTTCCCGAAAACTCACGACACAAATGGAACGAATCGAACGCGCAGGCGGCATCGGGGAGGGAGGCACCGGGGTGGTGCGGTTCGATTGACCGGCACATTATTTTAATGGCGGTGCACGTTATATAGGCAGTTCGCGCAACAAACTCTAGCGCGAAAGCCGGTCTAATTTATTTCGACTCGTTCCCGCGCTCGCCCCGGCCAATTATCGCTACACGCCGATGCAAATGTGCGCGATATACGAATCGAACGCGTATATCCGCCCCGGACGGCGATCTCGCGAATTAAATTTCGGCTAGCCGTTAACCTCGACCATTTACTCCGCCACTGGAAACACAATTTTAAACTCTCGTTTGCAAATAAACATGGGCCATGGCATGCGTGGCCGGCGGCGGTGGCGACACTCGCCCGAATAAATTCTTCTCTCCCGCAAATTACTGATGGTGGACTTTGAAAAGAGTTATGTATTTATGCGTGACCTCTCGCAAATTGCGCCCTTTGTCGTCCCTCTCTCTCGTCATTGTCAAAGGAGATCTTCGATTTTCGGAACTTTCCCCCCACAGTTCGCGCGGCGACCTGCGCGATGAAAATTTCCGCAGAATTCGCCCGTCGCGAATAATACAGTTTTCCAAATCTAATTTCACCCGCGCGCTCTCTCTCTCTCTCTCTCTCTCTCTCTCTCTCTCTCTCTCTCTCTCTCTCTCTCTCTCTCTCTCTCTCTCTCTCTCTCTCTCTCTCTCTCTCTCTCTCTCTCTCTTCTCTCCCGATCGAACCGGGGAGCAACTTCCGCCGTGAACTCGAATGAATCCGCCTTTCAGTTCTCCAGGGCTCCGTTCATTCGTTCCCGATATTAATGACGCGGGGGGTATTCTCGTGGCTTCGTCCCTTTCTCTCTCGTCCTCTGCATCTTTCACGAGCGAAGACGCTCCGGCCACATACGATTTCATGAAAAATATATCTCTCGGTGAAAGCGAGAAACACCCGCCGGCGCAAACAGTAGCGAAAACATTCACCGGAGGATCGCGTCTAATGGAAGAAAAATAGGGGACGCCGAAGGGGAGATCGTAAATCTGCTTCGCTTCAATAGCCGCCGGCTAATGGAAATCGTGAATTAACTTGCCCGGCTTTCTCTCGTTAGGTTTCTCTTAATTAATTGC